TCTATCATTTGATTACAAGCAAATGAACGAATAGACTCAACACGAACAACAACATCAAGCATTTGTAAAGATATGAGATTACCATGTTTTGTACTTTCAAGACGAGTTAATTCAACCAATATACTAATATATCTATAGTGATAATTAATGTTTTTTTATTAATAAAAATTAAAAAATAAATGTAAACCATTCAAAATTAGTTATATGTTAATAATCATTTTGACTACATATTTCAATTATTTTTGAAAGTAATTCATCGCGATAAAGTGATCCTTCAGATTTATCCATATGAATCATTAATTTATGTACGATATCTATTAGAGCTTTTCTTGTTACCTGAACAAAAACAAGATTCATAATCAAAATTGTCATTGATTTTTTAGCTAATAATTCATTTTCTTACCATTCGAGAAAGAAGATCAAGTGCACGTCAACGAATTGATTCATCTTTATTATCCAGACAAAGCATTATCAAATCACTATGTACTTGAACACTTTTTGAATGTGTATGTAAGATTTTCGACATAGCAAGTAAACCAAGATATTTTACTAAAAAATAATATAAAAATTTCCTTTTTTTTGTATAATGAATATATTTCATACAATTTCGATCTTAATAAATTAAAAATTTTCTTAAGGTTTATCCTGATCAATTATGAGTACAAAATGAAAAATATCTACAAAGTTCTTTCAATGTTTAATTCTTACTATTCTTCTAGAAAACATTTTATATAATATAGTGAAGATTGTTTTGTTTATTTTAAATTCTTTTAAAAATGCTAATACGTATATGATAAACAAGTTGATTGTTATAATGATGATATCCATATGTTCCGAACCATGTTCTTGAAATATCTAATCTCCAGCTACATGCTATTGGTGATTTTGATGACTATTTTATTGATTCTTCAGCAATGGCTTGTCGTAGTCGTGCAACACATCTTGTTTGTATAAGACAACATCCACTACCAAAAACTATTGATCCAATTATAGTCAAAGGAATAGCTATTCCTACTAATATAGGAAATCCATGTCTATCAGAATTAATATTTGTTATTCCACCAACAATAAAAAAGACAATTCCAGGTGCTATGATCAAACCATAAGCAATAGCAAGAATTATTAAAATTTTATTTGAAGATATTCGATGATTTATGTTATTAATTGATTGTCGAAAATCATCTTAATTAATAATACCATTTAAATGTATTGGATATGTTGAATCAAATTCTGATTAACAACATCCAGCTTATATATTACTAAATAAAAATTTTATTAAATTAAATAAATCTCTATAACTTACTTTGAACTATTGGTATATAAACTGAATTAGGATTTACCGGAACACCAATCATTCTTTTTTTTTTGTCTTTTAAATAAACTCAATCATAAAAAAGAATTTCCTAGATAAAATAAATTTTGAAATATGAAAATTCTGCATTCGAGTCATGGACTTGAAAAACTCCTGGTTTTTTAATTAATTCTATTTACCGATTAATATTCATTATCATGTTTGTTGTAACGATAGTTTTTAGACACGATCTCGATCTTTTGGTGATCGAATTTGGCACAACAAAAAATTCAATTAAAATAATGACTAAATAAACAAAGGTCATATATGAATTAATCGGTTTCTATAATAAATTATTTATAAGATAAATATTTGTTCCTAATGAACCTCATTATCAAAAAAAAAAATTAATTTTAGATATTTGAATTTAAATGTAGGCACAAGAATTCACTGCGACTATTCTTGATGATAGCAACTTTTGAATTTTATAGCAATTTCATCTTGGAATAGGATGACTCTTGAAATTTATCTTTAATACAAACTATAAACTAAATTATGACATAGGACATGAGAAACTCACATTAATCTTATACTGATATATAATATTATCATGAGGAATAACCCTAATCAATTGCTCTGTGACTGTTCAATATTAAACATCTGAAATTTATTTGATTGATTTCGAGTTTTTCAAGAAAAAAGAACAGATTTTATGAAGAATTTTTACAATAAGATGAATATTTGATAGGTTAACCTTGCCTACGTTTGTCATCAAAAAAGAGAAGTCATCAATAAAAATATCATTAAAATGATCATGGTATTGAATTTTAGTTTCAACAATATTCGAGTATTTCTCACCATTTCTCGTTAAAATCGATATGAAAATAAAATAGATTACTATAACTATTGTACAACTTATAGAATTTTTAAACGAACACGATAATGATGCAAAGAATTAATCAAAGAAAAAAAATATTATGCCTATTGTAATGAAGAGATAATAATAAATGATTGAAACTAAAAAGTTTCTCATAATATTCACGGTAGAATAGAAGAAAAAGTTGAATAGGACTCAAGCAATAAAAGAAAAGAATAAAAAGAGTCTGTTCGTTTTTATTTTAATTTTAAATAGATTCAATGGCAACATACATCATCTTACTTTTATTTCGTAATGTTGCACATTAAATGAATCGAAAGAAGAACAATAAATTACGATTTGTGCCATTACAAAGCGACAACTTTTCTTTATCTTTGGTATTGAAAATAGATTAATACATATATCTTTTTTATATAACCGTTTACCAGTAGATAGTTCACTCTTTTCAACTTTTAGAAAAGACCTGACTTGAGAAAAATAGAAGTCTTGCTTTATATTCTTGAGAGATTATTGAATACAATTTAACAAAACTCTCGATGAATTTTATCATAAATTGAAAATAAAATAATCAATTGAATTGCTTTATTTTTATATAAAAATTTTACGAAATAAAAGCAAATATATGACGTTAATTGTTTGAAAGAGATAAAAAGAAGATTATTTTAATTAATATCTACTGATTCATATTACTTAATTAAACATAATATAATTAAATATTTATATGATCAAATAAACATATAAAATATGTTTCATTTCTATTCACAAAATACTATGAACATGTTTATTTTCATTACTAAATTCTTATACTTTTCTTAGTTGACATCGAAAAATTAAATCTATTTTACAAATATGAACTCTTTTTTTAATTAGAATTTTACTCAGATTAAATAAAACTTATTTTTAATAATAATTCTTTATATCTGTCAAAAAAACACAAGGTTAATAAATAATGCATAAAAATTAAAAAAAACGAAACGCTTTATAAAAGAAAAAAGAATTAATCATTTAATCATGCAACTATAAGTGTAGAAAGAAGAGGTAAACATTTCATATTTATTGGATGAATAACGACTTGATGAGTAAAATTATGCTCTTATACTTGGTCGTACTACACAACATCAAGAAAAAAATAGTGTCGTTTGAATAGAATATCGTGGAGATGCAGGATTTTCTTCTCGTCGAAAAATTTATGTTAATTGAGGAGCAACTTTATTTGAAATATTGATTTATATGTCTAATAATCCTTTAAAAATGTAAAAAAAATCTCATTAATTAAAATACTATTTTTAATTAATGAATCATTTTTTTGAATAAAAGATTTTCATGAAAACGATAAAATTTTTTAGTTTTTAAAATCACTGAGATTTACTGGAAATTTATCTTCACAATAAGTTTTGAATGAACAAGACTAATTTCAATAGGAAATAAAACTGATCGAAAAATACCTAAAAATACTCCAAGAAAAAGTCATATATATATCTAAATTTCTTTTAAACTTAGCTACTATTATTTAACGGACAATAAAACTTCCTATTCTTATTATAAATATAATCGAACAAGTCATTAATCGATTCTTATATAAAGAATATGTTGAATTTATTGTTGAAATTCATATTGACTACTTATACTATTTAAATGAATTAAATATATTAAATAAAAATATACCTTACAACATCTAACTGACAAATTAAAAAAGAAATATTTCTTAGTTACTCGGAATGATTTATATAGAAATTTTATTGACATATCTATGAATATTAATTATTCGTTGCTTTTTTTTGTTTTTCAAATAAAAGAATATTAGAGAAGAACGTCAATAAAACAAATTAATTTATTCGACTTATAATTTAGTTTAGTTTGTTTTGTTAAAATGATTCTAAATTGAATTCAATAGAGAATCGGCCTGTCCAAGCATGACGAAATCACGTTTTGTCACTTTGCTTTTTCAAATATCTCAATGAAATCTGGGGTGTGGGTGAGTGTGAATGTACAATCAAATCAAACACCGACACTCTCGACGACTAATTTTGTTTCACAATTGGAACTTGCTGATACAGATTTTGTAGAGCTTTCGACGGCGCATCTTTGAAAAAAGATAAAGACATTATCATTTTCCAAAGTCGAGATATTCGCAACAGTGATGCCGGAAATTGGTTTTTTCCTAACCCATGGGTCGTCGGGTTGGGTTGAGTAGCTCGGACCCTACCCATTGGGTAACCCAACGGGTTACCCGGTGTTTATTCACTTTCAGTATTCTATTATAGAGTAACCCAAATTAGTTACATCACTATTCAGGAATGTGCTGCAAAGAAAATTGTGAGGGTGCAAGGGAATTTTTTAAATCTGAAAGGATTCACATACATTTTTTTTAAAAACATGGGATGCAAAATATTCTTTTTTCATTTTATGCTCTTTTTTTCAATAAAATGTACGATATTGATTGGAAAAAATCGAAAATTTTCTAAATGTGGAGGGATGAGCATCTCCTGTATCTCGTGGGTCGTAGGTCTCTACCACTGTTCTGTTCATACTATGAACCATACAGATAGAAAAACATCACAAAAAATTGAAAGCAATAGACAAAAATTTGTCTACAGCAAAAAAATCAAAGTATATGTGATGTTCATTTTTTATGCACACTTAAGAGATGGAAGAAAGAACAAAAGATATACCATATTGTAATGACATCGTCACTGAAAAAATTTTTCGGCAACTATTGTTTTAGAAATATAGATAATTGAACGGATTAACCCAGACCCACCCACGGGTCATCCGACAAAAATATACCTTCAAAATTAGATGGGTGGATCTGGGCAGAGGTGATTCAAATGGCCTACCAAATCTTTGGTTCGCAAAATAAAAGAGAAGTTTTGTTTATACTAATTATAACACCATCACATGACCTATTCATTTTGAGTATCGGAGACACTACCTGTGCAAGTCAATTGGGATTTATTCTTACAGTTTTGTAGAGCTTTTCACGACGCAAATAATCAAGATTACACGATTGATCTCTGCTAAGATATTTGGAATATATTAAATGTCGTAAAACTTCTGGTACATTCAGTATAAATCGCTTGTTTCCATATTCAACGATAATATATTTATGTTATAGAAGATAATATGATCAAATTTGTTTAATAATCTTAAACTATTTTCAAGATTTTTAAGAATTGATTGCCATTTAAGAATTAAGATTAAATAACTAATAGTTATTTATTCAGATGTTTGAAAATGAAGAAGATAAATTGTTTATTTGATTATAAAAAAAAGAAAGAAACAAACTATTTCGATTTATTATTAAATTAACCTAATTAATTAAATAACAAAAACTCTTATCAAATGAATTTATTTTTCAAAAAAAGAAATATTTAATAAAAGAATTTATTGTTTTATGTATGTAAACCATAGATTTTTCTATCATATTTTTGGAATTGGTTACATTATATTTGAATAATCGTGCAGATATCATTGATATTTATCGAAATAATAATAATTTATTATGTTTTACTTTTGAATGTTATATAGGTTCATCAGAAAAGAATGTAATAGGTGGGTACATAATTGTATATATATACTGCTTTTCTTTTGGTTGGTTTGTTTTCTGTTTGATTGTGCTTGATTTATTGATAAACTTTGTATTGTAATAACATACATGATCAGTTTCCGCTATTCGATGTTCTAAAAACAATAGAATTAATTACTATAAGAAACTCAATAAAATGCGTTGTTCAACGGAGAAAACGATTTAGCACAAATGGCCTCATATTCTCTCTCATTTTTTAATCAGTAGCTTTTCAAATAATAACAACAATGACTTTATTTTCCATTGAAAATATAAATACCTATTTAATTTATCGTTATTTATAGGAGAGAAAATATTTGTTCAAGGTGAAACATCATCATCATTGGCAAAAACAAATGATGAAAAACTGGTGAACAAATAAAATTTGATGAGACATATTCTCTCTAGTCAAATAGACGTTCATGAAAGAAAAGTATATCTTCAATATTTCGATTTATTGTTTTAGAATCGAGTGTGTTATGCTTTTTCTTTTTGATGTCATTCCGTTGGTCAAAAGTTCTTCGTTGACTTTTCTTCAAATATGTATCTTTTTAATTAGTTACTTCAATCAGTCACGCAAAATTAATCCTGGAAGATTATGTATCGGTCATTCTTCTTTACC